CCCCCCCCCCCCCCCCCCCAAAGGCAAGAGTTCAATTATCTTTTATTTTTATTGTCGAGTTCTTCATAAATGAAGAAGTACACTACTTAGAGCTATTTCAGAAACAACGGGAGAATCAAATAGCACTGAATCAACTTGAAGCGGAAATTTATTGCAAACCTGCCTGTGTTAAAGTTGTTGCGTCCGCAATTACAAAAGGAACATTGATGAGACGAGCAAGTGTCTTGGCAAGTAATGTTTTCCCTGTCCTTTCATTCACAGAAAACACAAGTTAGAACGCAACGACCAATTAATCTATTGAAACTAAGATTCTTATAGATAGTTTCTTCTAATAAGGCAATCATTTGTTAATAATAGGAAATTTTTCCATAAACTAGTACTAAATTCAAAGTAAAGAATGTAAAACATAATATGGTTCTCCACATACTGTCACCCTATCTTTTATACAAAATTAAACTTCATTGGTGCACCAAAAAGAAACTAGGAATGAAGGGCTAATTCCTCATTCCTCAAACTAGAAATCAGATATCATACCTGAGCCAGTGGGGCCCATCAGCAAAACATTGCTCTTCTCTAATTCGACCGAATCATTATCAATACTTTCCAGCTCATCTCTAACTTTACGAGAATCTGACCTGACATTAACATCAGTACTATCAGTTATTGATGGATTCTAGTAGCCTCTGGTACTATCAGTGACCAAAACAATTAAATCTACAGTGCATGTTCTCCCAAAACACACTACTTCTGTTTGCTTTCAATTTTTCTTCTTATGATTACAGTTTCTGTAATAAGTAAAGCAAAACTTATTCACAAGTGAATAACCAAGGACTGAGCTAGTGCTGGACGTTAAAAAGGAGGATCACAGCACAAAATCAGATCTGCCAGTAAGTGGAGGAAGCATATCCTATTCACATGACACTTCTTCTTTGTTAAAAGACTTCATTTCTTCCTCCCTTTGTACTTCCTTATTAGATAATTCTTGTCTTTTTCCTAAAGATGAAAAACAAAAAACTCCTTATGCTCATTCATGATCAAATAAATCTGGTCATAGTCCAATCTGGCTGCCTCTGAAAGTGTGTAATCTATTAATGTTCATCTTCTACAAGTTGTTACCAAGTCCATTTACTTTTCATCAACAATCAAAGGATTTATTCAAATTTAAATAGCATCAAGAGCGGTTTCTGGTCACAAGATTGGAGCATCTAAGGAGAAATCAAAATAACTCCTGACATTGTTTGAGTCAACCGCTAAATAAGTAGAATAAACAAGTTTTAGATGGGATGGCCTATCAAAGGATCAAATTTTCCACTGAGGGGAGACATCTTCACTAGTACACATGTTAGCGAGATGATATGTCATTTAGCAGCATATATTTACTCACTTTTTATTCAAAGAGGAGTGGTATATTCGTTTATAATGGTTGTAAACTGCAACAGAAAGCACCTGCAAAATGTAGAATATCATGTCAGTAAGACCAAAGTTGAATACCCCTGCAGAAACAGAGACTTGCTAACCTTCTTGGCTCTCTCTTGCCCAACAACAAACTGATCAAGCCCTTTACATATCTCCTTTGGTGTAAGCAACTCTATCCCCAAATCAGTACCTCCCCACCCTTCTTCCTTTCTCGCCTCCGAATCCTTCATTTCAGTTTCACAACTACCCTGTCCACCATCATCACTGCCATTGGTCCCACTATAAGACCTCAACTTTTCCCAAATCTTGCCATCATTCTTCCCAGAACTCCCAGCCATTTCATCTTCACTCTCCTTTTCACCTCCCTTAACCCTCCCAATCTCAATGAAAGTCCCTTGCAAAGGCTCCAATTTAAACGGTCTAAAGTAAAACGCTGTCCGGCAATGAGGACACAAATTCACCGCCTGGTAAATTCCAGTCTCCCCGGCGGTGATCGACAACGGCCTGTTAGAGAATAGCACTGTCATCATCTTCGAACAGCGTGGGCAGTTCACCTCTGATTTTATGTGATCGTAGTTGTCGGAACTTCCCTCCCATTTATGCCTAAACCCTAACCCTAGTCTAGAATCCTCGAATCTAAACACTAGCCCTACTCTAGAACCTTCAAATGGGTTGAAGAGGAGCGAGAGTTTTCTTCTAGGTTTGAGAGAAGAGGAAGAAGTAGAGGAATGAAATTTGGAAGACGATATGGAAAAAAGAGATGTTCTGAAGGTAAAAGTGTGGAGCTTTGATTTGTATCTGAATATGGCAGACATTTGTTAAGCCTTCTTCTTCTTCTATGGTTCTTCTGAGCTCACTCACGAGCATTTCAATGGAGGTTTCGCGACGGACAGTGAATTGATGCGGCGGAGTTGTGGAAGAAAATGGGTCACCCAATACCCGCCCCGAGTCTCGAGTGTTGGCCCAATAGGCCTTTTTGTTGTGTTTTTCGAACCATCAGCGTTAAAATAGAACTTAAATGGGCTTTATTTAGCCCAATTCCCTAAATTGCTTTGTACTTTGGAGCTTATGAAAGAAAAAAATATTTTTTCTAACATATAGGAAAATTATATAGAATAACCAACATTTAGCCTATATTAGATACTACATCTACAATTTAAGAAAGGGTAATGCTAAATGGCAAGAAAATTTGGCCAGAAATTTTAAAAATCTATAATATCTATTTTAGTTTAAAATAAACTAATCTTTTTTTCATTTTTTTAGTTAAAATGTATTAAAGTTAAAAAGGTAAAAATGTTCAAAAAGGTAAAATAACATATGAAAAATACCATCTTCGCCAAATTTTCTGGCCAAAAGGTTTTTCCTTTAAGAAAATTGTAATTCATGGCTACAGTTACTCCAATACTTGCTATTCTCATGATTTGTATAATTCAGTTCATGATCGTATAAATCTAAAATTTGTATATGTTTTCTTTGGATATTTGTAGACGATTTATGAAAACTCATAATAAATCACCCTTTTTGTATATTGACAAGTGAAATATACAAATGGAGTTCTGGAAAATTCTTAAATGTATAAATAAAGAATTTGTATATACTTACCATATTTGTATATTCGCAAGTGAAATATACAAACGGGCAAAAATATACAAACTGCAGCCTCCATAGCAAACAGAACTATCAATATAAAGCGCAATAATCAAAACTATAGTCATACAACCTTACTATGTCTATTATGTTTGTTATTTCTAAAATCTTATCTAACTTTATTATACCAATAAATAGTAGAAATTTTGGAAAAAATACAGTCCAATGCATTGGACTTTGGACCAGTTAATTTACAAAATTTGAACACAATGTCTAAATAGTGTGGATATATATATATATATATTATAAAAAAAAATTACATACATATATGATATACATACTATTATATACAGCCGATGATATATAAACATAAATTAGATGATCGAAGTGTAAATTATTCTGCGAAGATTTTCCAAAAAAATTATTATTGGATTTAATTATTAACTAATTTTGTAATTTATAAAAATTATATGCTTGATCCGGCTTAATTACAGCATATTTGTGAGAGGCTGCTCCTAATATTTGAAGAGTTGAACCATAATTGTTCATTTTACATAGTTGCGGATCGAACATTAATGATGTCAGAATCACTTCTTAATCCAACGCAAGTTTAATTGTATCTGTTCCATAAATAGGGTTAGTAGAGGGTGGGCGTACACAAATCTTACCTATCTTTGTAAATTGTAACTATGTAAGTTAGTCCAACGGAAAATATTTCTCATTTGTTTAAGGGAAAAGTGTTTGAAATATATCCGAACTTTGATCGAAATTGCAGTAATGATACCAAACTTTGGAAATGACCTTTTACCCCCTACACTATTTAATAGTGTATTTTAAAGGTATATATATGCCCACATGGACATCATAAATATTGCATAATTATAAATAATAACGTGTCCACGTAGGCACATATATACCTTTTAAATACACTATTAAATAGTGCAGCGGGTAAAAGGTCCTCCATAAAGTTTGGTATCGTAACAACAATTTCGATCAAAGTTGGAGTATTTTTCAAACCTTTTTCCCTTTGTTTAAATTATGTATACTATTTGCAGTTGAGTTATAGAATAGCTAAGTTTTCTTCGATACTAAAGGTAAAGATATTTGGAGTTGAGCTGTGAAGAGTTAAATTTGAAAATTTATATTTTTTGGAACTTGAAATTGTGTTTGGACACAAGTTTTATTTGAAGTTTTTGTGAGTGCAAGTGAAATCTCATAAATTTTCAAAATAAGATATAACTTTCATGATCAAACAAATATCTAAAGATAAATTTTCAGGATCTGATATAAAATATATGGTCAAACGCTAGCTTAAACTCCATTTGAATTTGTAATTCCTCTTTGTCTACTTTACTATTTGAGATGGTGTAATCCCTCCACTTGCCCCTCCTTTATTCTTTCTCTACTACTACACTTGAGGAACAAACTTTTTTTTTTCTTTCATCAAAAGGCATAGAAATAGTTGATTGGTCTAAACATGAAGAGTGTTTGAAAATTAAAGTTAAAACCAATTTGGTAATTTCTAGAGTAATGGACCACAAAGAATTAATAAGGTAATGCCAAGAATGCAATATAATATGTGGTCACATAAGTCTCTTATAACTATAGCTGGAAATCACATATTTGATTTCAGTTGTAATTATATTTATTATGTTCATGGTCCATATTTGTACTTTTTCTGTTTTAAGTCTTGCCTTGGCAACATAGTTGTTTGTCTATCTGAGACTTTAAAGCCCTTTACATGGCGTGGTCATGGAAAGTCTAAAAACAGAACAATTTGTAGCTAGAGAGTTCAAATTTATTTCACCATAGGTTTGGGAGAAAGTGAATAATTCATAGTCTTGTTTTATATGTTGTTTTGATAGAAGCGAAGTCAAAATTTGAAATTTATGAAAAAAAAATTATAAGTTACTGAAAACTAAAATCAGATAAACTTTAAGATCAATTTTGGTTTCTTTATTATTTATTTTAGAACATTGAATTGATATTTCTCTTGAAAAAATGGCATTAGTACTTATTGATCCTCAATAAAAAATAGATTTAGAACAGAATGGGGTTGATTGGTATGTTTGACAAATATATATAGTCTCGTGATAAAAATTAATTACTGATTTATTTCTCGTTTGATTACTAATTTTCGGATAAGTTATCTTTGCATAAAGTAGAATAATAATAAGGGAATTAGTTATTGAGACAAAAATATCCTCAAGGTCCTTCAGTATTTTTTTTCTCCTTAATAAGGTAAAAAATATTTTTTTAAACGAACAACTTCTTTTTAAATAAATAATTTTATCATAACCTAGCTTCAAACCAAACCATGTAACACCAAGCAAATAGATAGTACTCATTAATCTTTAAGATCAATTTCTGTTTCTTTTTGGGGGGTCCGGTTAATTCCTATTTTTTGGGGGATTGGTTCAACACAAGTGTCATCCGTACAAACAAAAAAAAACTCCTTTGGTAGTTTACTAGTATAGTTTATACAAATGTCTAGGGAGCAATGCAAATATATATATATATAAATTTATAGTTGACTCGTAAATTAGTCATCCCAATAAAAAAAAGTGTACAATCAAATAAAGACAAATATAAATCCAGTCAGCACTGGAGAGATGAGATTAATTAGTTAATTAATTAAACAAAATCCAGAACAACCATAAGAAATTCCAAAATTCCCCACATGCACTAGTACTAGTACTACACTACATATTATTAAAAAAGCAAATTAAAGTAGATAAAAATCATCAAACTTGATTTTCATTAGGAATACTATCATTTTTCTTGGCAAGGCTATGCTTATTGTTATGCATCCAAACTTTAAGCACTCTTCTTTTAACTCCAACTTCTTGACAGAATTGTTGCACAACACCTTCTTCTTGTTTTTGTATTTTCCATCCAACTTTTTCAGCAAAATTGAGCATTTTATCCTTTTGTTCTTGAGTAAATTTAGTCCTAAATCTCTTTTTGACATGATGTAATGGTCTAGCCATAGCCATAATTCCACCAATGTGATGATGATCTTGATCATGTTCTTCTGATTCAGAATTAGGAAGTGAGCCCATGTTATAAGACATTATCATTTGATGATGTGGTGGTATTATTGGTCTAGTTGGAATTATTGTACCAAATGGTTCAGGACCTAAACTAGTTTTGTGATGGTTATGTCCTAAATAAACTTTTTTTGTTGATCCTCCTCTGTTGTTCAGATGATGAAAGCAATCACAAGAAGATGGTAATTGAAGTTGTTGATCACCTTCTATTTCTTTTCTATGAAAATTTCTATGGCAATTGCAAGCTGAACAAATCAGAGCTTCAATTGTACCTTCTTCACCACTTGGCATGAATTCTCCACATCCATCTGTTGCATTACCACCCATAGATGCTGCATGGTTCTTTAGGCACTCTTTGTACCTGTCCAAATATTTCGTTAACAGTATTTAATTTGTATTTATAGAAAACAACATTGTATTATACAAATTAAATGTGTTTTATTAGCTCATTAAAAAGAACTAGTTTAAACACCGCTGGGATGGTCAGACAATTCAACAAATAGTTGAGACGGGGAAGAGGTTTAATTTCATAGGAGTACCAAGTAAAAGAAAGTTCTAAAGTGTTTTAGCTTGTTAAAAAATAATTAATTTGAACACCATTCAGACCATGTGTGACGATTAAGATGGGTCACACAATTCAACAATATTTGAAAGATTGAAATTTTCACACAATTCAACAAAGATATTCGAGAAGGCATGAGGTGTCACACATACTAAGGCAAAAAAGAAATGTACTAGTACTAAACATGTTTAGGCTCGTTAAAAAAATTAGGCCCGCACACATATAATTAAAAGAATGTATAACAATTTAACAGTACCTGATCATTTTCTTGAAAGGTACATGATGATCTGCTGCAGTTGCTACTGGTGGTGCATCAATAGGAGGACCATTCATAGAAGGTGGTATAATGTGATTGGTATTGTTGGGTGGTGTAGGATCATGATGTATCATGTGTCCATATGTGCTGTTAATTGGTATTGGCATATCCTCATGATCTTGACTTGGAAGTTCCATATCTAACCTCTTTCAAGAAAAATTTTGTACTTATGTGGAGACCAAAAGGGACAAGATAGGAAATTATTAAAATTAGTACAAGCTAAGGTATAGGTGTAGTAGAGCTCTATAGACTAAAATGATTAAAATTGAAACTAGTGGCTGACTTCAACTACAAAAGATAAGTAGGAAAACAAATTAAAAAAACCTAGGGGATCTTCACAAATTTTGTCCACTCTTTTTGAAACAACTAGGAATTAATACATTATTGACCCTCTCATGCATCATCAACATAATTAATTTCTCACCAATTCATTATGGGAATGTAGAACAATTAAATTTTGAAGTACTATTAGAATCATTGTTAAAATTTGAGTTCTTGAAAGTGAAGGAGAAAAGGGTCAAACACTTGCAAAAAGACTAGTAGAGATCAAGAAGAGTAGTGAAGGTGAAAATTAAAGAGAGATTCTTTAAGATTTCAAAAGCAAGAGACAAAACTACAAAAATGATCAAGATTGTTTTTGTTTCTTTTATGGAGTTAATTTTGGGGATAATATAAATGAAAGAGAGGATGAAGAAGATGAGATAGACAAAAATAAACAAAGGAATGAAGTGAAGAGAGACAAAGGGGAAAGAGTGTTTTTGTTGTGGTTTTTGCTAGTGAGTGAAGCACTTAACATGAGCTTATAGAAGTAGTGAGGACCCAAAAAAGAGTTGGAGAGAGATAGGAGGAGAGAGAGGAAAAAAAACATTTTATTATTAATGAGTTTGATTTTAATATCCCTTTTTGTAAAAAATATTTACAAAATTAGATTATTTATAAATTAGTATAAATAAACATTAGTAATTAATTAAACTATATTATTATAATTATATAGGAGAATGAACCATTTTCGATACAATACAACATAATTTAATAATTTTTTATTCAAATTCTGTATTTATTTTTAAAAATTCATTTAATATACATAAATTATAAATTTTAGACACCAAAAACTTCAAAAGAGTCTGAATTTATAAACTTCAAACTTTTGATCCGTCTACGTTAATTTATCAAGTAGTATATTTTACTTTTAGATGGTCACTATTAAGTCCTTTTTTTTTTAAAAAAAAAGAAAGATATATAGGTAGATGAAAATAGTATGAAGTTTATTTTTTCTTTTAATTTTATTTATTTAGTAGAGAAAAATATTTTTTAGAAATTAAGGAAAAAAAAAAAAAAAGTGGGGTGCTTGCTTAGCTTGCACTATCAGGCACCAAAATTACGCCATATAGAGAGTGCAGTGTGTCAGAGAGAGTGAGGAGGATAAAAGAAAGAGACATACAGAGAATCCAATAAAGACTTTCTTAACACAAAAAGGTAAATAAGTTAATTTTTAGTACATAAATATATAAACTCTCTTACAAGCAATCTTTTTTTTTTTTTTCTTTTGGTTGGAAATTTTAAAAAAAAATGTTTTGAAAATAGAATAAGATGAATATTGGTGAAAAATGCACATAAATCTAAACTGCTAGATTAAGGCAAGCAAGAATGTGATGGTGTTCCATATGGAGTATGACTTTTACCTTGGGGTGAATTTTCAAAAAGCAAAAGTAACTCATCACAAATTCATAAGTCCTTTTCTTCGTTTAAATCTATCTGACACGTTTTGAATTTGTATAATCAAATTTAAAATTTTTATGTCAAGCTAAGATAACTTACGACTAACTTATAGCCACACGTTAAGTTACATATTAATATTATTTTCAAATTCTTTACGTTGTTAATGCATACGATAACTTAAATTCATTAGTAAGAATGAACTTATCCAATATATTCCGAGAAAATAAAGTTATTTTCTACAACCATATTACTTGAAAGTTAGTTATTAATAAATTGCAAATGACAAACATGCTTTGTGACCTACACAACATAATAAATGATATATTAATTATAGTAGGTGAAAAATAAATGGATAGTGTAATTTCTTTTATATTACTATAAGTGTATATTTAATTTGATAAGATGTTGATAAGCTAGTACTTCCTCCGTCCTATATTAATTGATCATCTTATTAAAATTAGTTGTTCACCTTATTAAATTAAGAAATATTGATTATTTTTTTCTTATATTACTCTTACAATTAATTCTTTTTAAAAATATTCATATTTATTTATAAAAATTTCAAAAAGTCTTTTAAGAGGTATATTAATAAAATTATATTATTATTTTATAATTTCTTAATAGCGTGTGAAAAGGGGAAATAATATGATGGAGGGAGTAGTAATAGCTAGCAAAGCAAATGCATGAAATTAATTAGACATATAAGCAACAAAGCCTTTATGTGGCTCATTACACCACTCGTGATTTATTAATTACATTTTGTATTAATGTAAAACTACTCTCTTAAAGACTAACTTTGACCAAAATATCCACTCATGCATGCAACTCATGTGAATCTTAATGACATTAACACCCTATTATTAAAGTATATTCAATATTTATTTTATTTTCTCTTAAAAAAATAGTATCTATTGTTCCATCAGTATCAATTAATTTGTCTGATTTTAATTCGACATGAAATTTAAAAAGTAAAAATAATTATTTTTAATTTTATACTATTAAATTAAAAATATGTGGAATATTAGAATGGTAAAAGTCACACATTGTTTGAGAATAGACGGGTGATTTGCTTTATATGAATTTGATTAATCCTCCGCTACATGAAAAGCATAAGAAAAAAATAAATCACTTAAATATACAATTATTTATTATATAAATAAATCACTTCAATTAACCGTGAAAAGCAAATCAACTTTTCAACGTAATTAGTATAAGAAAAAACCTATCATTTCATACATAGGGAAAATAATTTTTCTTGTTTGTTTTATTTTCGGGCTATGATTCTTGTATTATTGAGACTTAAAAAAATATAAGCAGAAACAAGAGAAAAGAAATTGGCGTGCGTTTTATTTATTTAATAAATTAATTAATTTAAGCCCATTACTACAAAAAGTAAATTGCCAAAAGATTTCATAAAATTAATGTTCCATTTAATGTTTATTCTGTGCTGTTTGGAGTTCTATTTTCTTTATTATTATTTGGTTGAAAAAAGAACGGCAAACCTGCCCTGAAATAGCAAAGTACAAAATAAACGAATTTTGGTAGGCTCAACTAGCCAAAAATTTTATTTTTTAAAAATATATAATATATTCCTCAAATTATTATTTAAAAGATCATTAAATTTTTGATTAAATCGGCGGAGACAAAGTGATGGACTCTTTTTCGATTTTCCATTTTGGGTATGATATTAATTTTAGAGTATGATTAATTTAAAAAGAAAAAAAAACTCTTACCAAATATGATTTCATTCCTAGAGTTTTGGAATCTAAAATTTTTACTTATAAACTATTTGGCTAAGATTTAGAAAAGCCAAAACTACTTAGTTTTAAAAAGTGAAATGTTTTATCAAATTTTTGAGAGAAAATAAATATTTCTAAGGATTAGTATAAATTGTTTTGCAAAGTTTTAAAATGTATTCTCTTGAAAAAAAATAGACTTAAAAACACTTTAAAGAAGTTTTATCAAACATTGAAAGATTGATATTGTTCAAAAATATATTTCTTAAATTTATAGTGAAATACAAAATATTTCTCAAAAAACACATTTAAAATAAATTGATTTTAAAAGTTTGATCAAATAAATTATTAGTTTTAGAATTCTTTGAAGTTTGCCTTTTCTGTTGTTTTTTTTCCTTCAAAAGGCCAAAATTTCTTGAACAATAATTTGTCGGAAATTTCCTATTTAGCTATAACAAATTGATTAAAGGTAATTGATTTTAATCAGAGTGATAGACTCGGTATAATTAGGTGTTTAGCTGAAAATAGATGACATACCACTTACCAGTGGGTTAATTTCTTCAAAATTCAGACATTCTATTATTGGCACTAAATCATCACTCATTTTTTTATACTTTATTGTAACAAAAAAATAATAAAAAATAATGACTTTATAATACTAGATTTATTTTATATATATATATATGAAGATTGAAAATGAAAAAATGGAGTTGTAATTGAAAGAAACACGGAAAGCTACTTATATATATATATATACACACTTTGCTACAGAAGTTAAAAATACACTAATATTAAAATTTTAAAAAAATTGTACACAATGAGTACTGTAATAATAGTACCTTTGTCCCAATTTATATGCTCTCTCCTCCTCTCAATTTTTTACTTTGCATTCTAAAAATTATTACTTATGAACTAAAGGATAATATAACTACTTTTTTCTTCTTTATGGAGTAGTTTTTTTTTTTTTTTCAGTTTAATGCTTCTTTCTTTTACACTATATTAATTTATTTATTTTATATTTATAACTAAGAAAAAAGGTTAAACCGTAAAAACAACAACTTATATTTTTAATTATTTAAAATGATACAGTAACTATTTTTGACCATCTGTTCTTAATAAGGACAACGATAATAGTATGCTCTTCGTTTTAATCGATTAAAAAAAAACAACACATGCAAATATTTAATGACACTAACAAAATTTTATCTTTATTACTAATAAGTTATTAGATCTCACTTATTAGACAAATAGTCCACAAATATTACTTTTTTAAAAGGTAATTTAAAATATTACAATTTTTTAATTTTTTTTAAAAAAAACTTCATATTCAGTAAAAGTATAGTAAATAAATAATTTTATAGGAAGAAAGTAATATAATAAATAATTAAATTGTATTCCTATACAATGAGAGTAAAATGAAAAGAAAATAGTGAAAAAAGATAATGATGTGGTTGTGGAATATCAAAAGGACAACTGCATATTATTCAGAGTCCATCCATCAGTTTCTTCTTTCAAACACGCAATCTCAGACAATTGTAACTTAATTATAAAGTCTGAGATCGTAAAACTAATCCTCAATTTATTTTTATTTTCATTTGTTTTTTTGTTATGTTTTTATCAACAATCTTTGAAAAATAATTTTTCTATTCTTAAATAGTACTTTCTCTGTCTCAATTTACGTGACATTTTTCGTTTTTCGAGAGTCAAACAGTTTAAGTTTGATCGGAAATTTGCGCATAAAATCTTCATTTTTTTTGAAATAAAATTTATATATTTATAAACTACGTAAAAAGTACTATAAGTCACAACAATTGACAATTGATAATTCAAAATATCTAAAAGATCTATGAACAATTTACGATCAAAATTAGACTTATTTAAATTTCAAAATCCAAAATCTGTCACATAAAATGAGACGGAGGAATAATAATATTCACGCACACAATATTATTTTCTTTCAAATTTCATCTGTAAAATTACTATATGAAAGTTAATGAAGTTGAAAATTGAAATGGGGATAGTAACGTTCAAATTTCAGCCGAAGTAAAAATTATATACATTACTTGTACCGATAATATGAGAAAATAACGTATGCTTCATCTCTTGATTTTTACTTGTTATTGTTTAACGTGTCACACTCACTAAAAAATTAATTATTCAAATAGATATTTTATATAATATTGATATTAATAGATGTTTAGTATCATGTCGTAAAAGATGAATTTGAGAATAAGTATTTAATAATATAGGTAAAATACGGAAAAAAATAATTTTTTTTATATATCTAAAATAATAAATAAAAATAAAAATCTATTTTAGCAATTAGTGAT